TGTTTCACACAAGCTACGCAGTGTGAAACCCTAATAACTAGACCTGCAAGCAGCAATGAACCGGCTTTCAAGAATCAGACAGGAAGTGTATCTTTTGATCCGGTCACACCCGACGGTGAAATCACGATTTTTGCAAGAGCACCGATTTTTACTGTTTTTTTTTAAAATATCGAATATTTTTTCGACTACTTCCGGTGTACGGATCATTGTCGGGATAGACTAAACGCGTTGTAGGGGAACTTAACTTCATGTACCAAAAGTTTCAGAAAGATCCATTGGACAGTTTTTAAAAGAAAGGAAAATTAGAAGATATTTAACGATATTTAGCAAATAAATGGTAGTCTGATACAATGTGTTATCTCCCTTATACCATGAGAAGATATAACGATTTTTAAACACCCACATTTTCATGTGGACGTATATTGTCGTCGCCCCTGTCCGTCCGTCCACAATTTGTTTGTGAACACTATACAGGTCACAATTCTTATCCGATTTTGACAAAACTTGAAATATAGGTTTATCTCCAAAAGATTTCGCCTACTTTCGATATTGGCATGTATCGGATCGAAACTTCATGGATTATGGCCCCTGTTTGTACGAAAAATCACGTTTTTAGCTTGTGGACACTATAGAGGTCACAATTTTTATCCGATTTTGTTGAAACTTGAAATGTAAGTTGATAACCCAAAGATCTCGGTTCCTTTTGATATTCGCGCAGCTCGGACCGTAACTTCCTGAATTATGGTCCCTGGTTGTAAATGAAATGAAATGAAATGTTGTTTAATGGCACGTCAGCTCCAACCGGGATATATTGCGCCATACATATGGTGAATTTAACGAGACAAATTAAAACAATATCACAGGAATGTATTCATATATGTAAATAAAAACAAATATCACAGAAAATATACTTAAAAATAAATATATCAATTCCTTTACATATATAAATATTTAAAAAACAATATATGATAAATATATACAATTAAAATTTTGAATAAAAGTTTGTCTCTTTTAAAAATGCTAGCAATTCATCATAAAGCTCCGGTTGAGCAAATAGCTGACGTGCTGACTGGCAACGGTAATATTTAGATCTAATATGTTTGAGATGATTGCACTCAATCAAGATGTGTTTCACTGTCAAAGGAACATGACAGTGAACACATTGTGGTTGAGGCTCTCGCTTTAAGATGAAAATGTGTGTTAAAAAAGTATGACCAATGCGAGAGAGGAAGACGAACAGAAGTAGTCTCAGATGGCGTGACAGTAGCTGAAGCTACCCGATCGCCATCTTTGGAACCATCCGTATAAATTGGAGCATATTTTGACCTTAACTCCCCGAAGAGAGACTGAAACACTGTGGAACCAGTATCTTTCTTTTTGTTTTTTGTAAGATTGAGATCGATCTTGGGAGGAGATATAGACCACGGTGGTGTCTCAAAGAAAGGGGTATTCGCAATACTGTCTTGACTGATACCAGCCTGAGACAAAAGGGGTTGAATGCGAATACCGAATGATGGAATAACATTAGTCTTCAGTAAATATAGATGTTCATGAAAGGGTCTAAATATGGTGTTAAATGAAATATGATGAGGCAGAGATGCAATTTTTGTAGCATATTGCAGTGCAAGTTTATCACGTCTGTCGTGCAATGAGGGCTCGTGCGCCTCGACGTATAAACTCTGCACCGGAGATGTTCGGAATGCTCCTAAACTGATTCTAAGTCCTTGGTTGTCAAGCTCTTTGAGATAAGCCTCGCGGGCAGACCCATACACAATACACCCATAATCGAGTTTTGATCTTATCAGTGCTCGATATAATCTGAGCAAGACCTTACGGTCTGCTCCCCAGTCAGTGTTTGATAGGACTCTCAATATATTGAGGGCTTTCAGACATTTCTTCTTGAGGGTTTTAATATGAGGAATAAATGATAATTTCTTATCAAATATCAAACCCAAGAATTTCGTTTCATCTACAACTGGAATGGGACTACCATCCAGTGTAAGTTCCGGATCAGGATTTAAACCTCTTCTTTGACAGAAGTGCATGCACACAGTCTTGGATTTCGAAAATCGAAACCCATTGTCAGTTGCCCATCGTTGAATAGAATTCAGACAAAGCTGCAACTGACGTTCGATTGTCTGCATACTTGTCGATCCGTAACACATCTGAAAGTCATCAACATAAAGAGAGCCGTCGACCCCACGTTTAAGGCACGTCGGTATTGAATTTATTGTGATTGCAAACAGTGTGGGAGATAAAATACTTCCCTGGGGAACTCCCATTTCCTGGGGAAATGGGTCAGAGAATATTGATCCCAAGCGTACCTTAAACGACATATCTTCTAAGAAGTTTTTAATGAAGATAGGTAAGCGACCCCGCAGACCGAGGTTATGCAGGTCGCGCATGATACCATATTTCCATGTGGTATCATAAGCTTTCTCCAGATCAAAAAATATAGCAACTAAATGTTGTTTCTAGATGAAAGCATCCCTGACAAACGTTTCAAATCTAACGAGATGATCAAGAGTGCTCCTTTGGGACCGAAATCCACATTGAAGATCTGTAATGAGGTTGTTGGACTCAAGGTACCAAACAAGCCTTCGATTGATCAATCTCTCCATGGTTTTGCAAATGCAGCTAGTTAAAGCGATCGGACAATAATTGGTAGGATTCGTAGGATCTTTACCCGGTTTTGGGATGGGAATTATAGTGGCTTCATGCCACGAAGGAGGGAAATTCCCATCAACCCAAATCCGGTTGTAAAGATCTAATAATATTAAGAGTCATATTTACTTACTGCACAATATTTTATTTTAAAATTAACAACATTGCACTTCTTTCGTTCAAGTGTGTAATGCTCAAAGCGACACTTCTCAGTTCATCAAATCTATCATTTGCGGCCTGTTACAGCTCTGTCCTGTCGGTTTCTTTGACAATATAAATAAACCAGAACTTGATTACCCAATCAACAATCTTAACCCCGTTAGAGGGGTGAGGTTTAACGTCCACTCGATACAAACTAGGTCATTTCGGGTCTATATTTCAATAATTCGCTTGCGCGTATAGAGGTCTTTAGCAGTGGGGGAAACTGGAGACCGTGTCTATTCATTTAGGTGGTAATGAAATCGCCGCGACATCGTCACCTGTGGATATATTAGAATAATTAGAATTTTTTGTTCAAAAGTGACAATATTCTAAGAATTGGTGAAATTTTGACAAGACGAGATTTCTCAAAGGCGCCTAGTTTGGAACCGGAATAATTTAAGACAAAGAAAACGCGTTAATAAGTCATTAAAAGACAGATATAAAGATAAATTCGTGTGCTTTCCTGACATATTATACCCAAATGATTTTTTACAGGACCGCGTGAAGAAATATAGTATAAGAAGACTTTTGAGTAGGCCACGAGACCGTTAAATGAACAATTTTAAATCAACCTCTAAATACTCTTTTATTTGGATGTTTGGTTTTTATTTTAAAAACTGGTTTTACTTTAATCCATTTTTAAATCTTTGTTAATTTTCTTTTAAAACTTTTATTTTATGTTATGTTATGTTATATATTTATAAGCTTTTAACGTGTAATATTGGATGGAAAAGCCAGACATCGGTAATCACATTTGAAGTATATTTCTCACGATATATCTCACTATTTTTGAATAAAATCAAGTAATATGCTCATTTTGCACCATTATGTTGTAGTATTAGGTAGTATGTGGTGATATTGGAGTTGTATTCGGGTGGTATTGGGTAGTATTGGGTAGTATTGTGTAGTATTGGGTAAATCGTCCCGCCGATGGAGAACCGTTCTGTTCACATATGAGGAGAGTCGGTATTGCGTATCAATCGCAGATGACAGGACCAGAATATGGCGTTGACATGGCCAGCGTTATTCTGACCGATGTGTCATGGAACGAGACCCTTGGGGAGGTCCAAGCATAATGGTTTGGGGTGGAATCGGCCTGAACGAGAGAGTGGGTCCTGCGGTGTTCCAAAATCTTGGTCCAAGGAGAGGAGCCGGCATCACATCAATGCGCTACATCGATCAAGCTCTCAGAACCCACGTCATACCACATTTCGCACGTCATCGAAACAAACGTTTTCCAGCATGACAAAGCCCGTGCCCACACCGCCAGAGTTACTCGGGAGTTTCTACAGCAGAACAGTGTCAACGTTATGCACCGACCAGCCCTTAGTCCGGACTTAAACCCGATTGAACATCTTTGGGATGAAATTCAGAGGAGACTTAATAACCTCGTACCGAGACCAAACACAGCCCATAGATTGTGCCAGACATTTCTGAGAGAGTGGTTCCAGGTGCCAATGGCGTTTATCAATCGTCCGGTTCACTCCATGTACAGACGCTGCGCTGCTGTTATTGACACTCGCGGTGGACACGCCAGATACTGATGTATAGACCGTGTACAGACAGACTCTAAACCTTCTCGTAATGTCTTAGAATTGTGAAGAATTAATCACTAATGTGTCAACATACTGTTCACAAAAAATTGATTTGATCTTTTTAAGGAGTCGTTTTCTAGAATGATTTGATTAAAGTGCCTCTCTGATTTTGAAATTGTACTGACAGTTTTTTGTTGTTGTTTAGTATATAGATCTGTATTTTAATCAGATTAACAAAATTAGAAATTACAATTGGAAATTCAAAATAAAAGTAAAAATTTTACAAAATTAAAAATAGAAATTAGAAATTATATTTCAAAATTAAAAAATGCAAATAGGAAATCGAAAAAAACACAAAGATAGTTCGTATTTGAGTTTCCGCAGCAATTTCTCAAGGCGAATACTCTGATGACGGGAACAAACTTCAAACCAGAAGGAAAAATCAAACAGTATTTTTGTATGGTTTATTCCCACCACAATTATTTAACAATAAGAGAAACGATAATCTTTTCTTAATTAATTTAGTCTATAGAAATGAAACACTACCTACCCCCCCCCCCCCGCCCCGCAAAAAAACAAACAAAACATAATCTTTCCAGTGACATAAGTTCATATAAATGGAATAAAATTTGGTCTTAAATCCATAAAAGTCATTATTAAAAGATGTTAGCTCTGCACGACATTTGTTTTAGATATTGAGACTTTTTGGTTTAGTTTCGGGACTTATAATTAAAGTTAATAAAAAAAGAGGCGATAGATTTAAATAGCTGTGATACGAATTTAATGCAAAAATTAAGTCAACCGGTATAGTTTTATGCAAAAAATTCAAACAAATTCTCGGGATACATTTTTCAAAAAGACACTCATATTACCTATGAATTAAATTTTACAAATAAAATAACTGAAATAGAACAAATATTAAAAGTATGGGATAAACATAAATTATCTTTAATTGGAAAAATACAAATAATTTAAAAAATTTGTATTTAAAAAATTCGTCACCCGGCAACTGTTAATCCAATGTCCGATTCTACTATTCAAAAACTAAATTCAATATTTTACAAATGTATATGGAACGGGATACATTTTTCAAAAAGACACTCATATTACCTATGAATTAAATTTTACAAATAAAATAACTGAAATAGAACAAATATTAAAAGTATGGGATAAACATAAATTATCTTTAATTGGAAAAATACAAATAATTTAAAAAATTTGTATTTAAAAAATTCGTCACCCGGCAACTGTTAATCCAATGTCCGATTCTACTATTCAAAAACTAAATTCAATATTTTACAAATGTATATGGAACGGGCCTGATAGAATACAGCGACATATTCTTATACAGAACAATAAAAATTGCGGATTAAAAATGATTGACTTAAAAGAATTTCTAATATGTAATAGCATTTTTAGGGTTAGAAAAATATACCAGTCACCCGTCCAAACATGGCTCATACCATATGAATTCATTATGGCTGAATATGGTGGAAATTTATTACCTGCTTACAACTTTCCAGAAAAGCTAAATTTAAACATTCTCCTTTATATAAACCTCCATACAAACTGGTATAAAATTTACACAACGCATATAAAGAACATTGCTCAAGCTGAAAATCAAATTATTTGGAATAATACAAATATAAAGACTAATAATAAAATCATATTTTTAAAAGTTCCTTTTAACAATAATATTCGGTTCGTTAGTGAATATTTTGATAAAGTAAAAAAGATCGATAATCAATATTTAGAAAAACATAAATATATCTTAAATGGAATAGGAAAATGTATCTTGAGGTATGTACCGGAATCGAACGAAGTTGAAAGTGCAATACATACAAATTTCAATTGTAATATAACTCATTTGGAAGATATAAAATACGCATTTTTACAAAATATATAATACCGATTTTCACACCGTAGATTCAAAAGATATTTATGATAGACGGATAAAGTTCAGCAGGCCAAAAGCCATCGAAGAGTGGGGACACATTCTAGATACAGAGTTAAGCGATCTAGACGTAGAAAATACATTTAAAATAATGAACACTGTATGTCTTAGTACAAAACTGAGGAGCTTTGAATACAAATATCCCCATAGGATTATATCCACAAATGATAAATTATTCAAAATTTAAAAATCTGCCCATTTTCACAAATAATATGGAATCATTTTCATAGTATTTTAGATCGTGGCAATATAAAGATAAATATAAAAACACATATCAAACATCTTGGTCTAACTAACAAACCAGATTATATAAATACTGAATAGATCTTCATTAATCATGTAATTACTTTAATTAAGTTCTATGTATATATCGGGCTAAACTACGAAACGAAATACTCGATATTAATAAGTACGAAAGCTTTTTAGTAGAACATGTTAAATTGGAGATTGAAATAGCTCCGGAATTATACATAAATAAATGGAAATATCGTTTTAAGAATTAAGGCTTTTGTGTATACTTTGGTATAGATTTTACTTAAAAATAATATAATTTGTTAGGGCTGTAACTGTAATACTTCGGGATGATCTTTGAAGATGAATTAGTCTTCAATTAACTTGGTATCACTGATTTTGTTGTAAGGGTTAAATGGGTATGTTAAGGTTACAGTTTTAGAAAAGGCACCCTGTCTAAAATTGGTTGGATCTATGTATTCATATCCTGGTATCGTTCTGAAATGACAAGCATATAAAATATGATTCAAATAGAGTAAACAGATTGAGAACAGATTATATATTTTAAACAGTAATAGATAACACATATTGTCCGTCATGACAACGTAAAAGAAGATGATCCGGTCATGGTTTGGAAAGTACAAGGATATGTTATTGGTAATCAACAACCAAATACTAGTAGCGTACTTTTATAATTGTTTAGAAATCATTGAACAGGGAAGATAGATCATCTGATTTGGAGAGAGATAAATTGGATTTAAACTCCTCTCCGACACAAACTGGGTCATTTCGGGACTAACATAGGTTCAATTTTATTCCAATGCTTCTCTTCTGCGTTTGGGTCTTTACGAGTGAGAGGTCCCGGAGAAAACCCTACTCCTTGTCACGTACAACGCGACTTGCCTCAATGACACCCGAACTGATGTGGCCAGCTAAGCTACGGTAATTGGTTGATAAATTATCATATAGATATTATTCATCGAAACATGTTAATTAACAACACATTTATTTTTTCAATATCAGTTTGATATGTGCACAAAGGTTCCAAAATATGCTTTTAATTGTTTCAGAGATATGGTCCGGAATAATAATTGTATACTCTGTCTGCGTTGCATGAATGGATTTGGCGCTCAATAAATAGTAATCATTATTACTAAAAATGAATTAAAACTTTATGAACAAGAAAACACAAAAATCATTCAACTATTAATCCAAAAGCTAAGTAAGATTAGTTTCTAATGAATTACAAAATTTATTTTCTCATAAATTGTACAGATAGGTGATTGAATACCAAATAAAGTAAATTTTGTTTCCAGCGATATCTTCAAAGTTTTATAGTGGATAATTTCCAAATGTAATGATATTATAATGAAATATATAAAATAACCTGTATGTAGCTTTCATGGTACTCATCATCGCCAAGTTCTCTCTGTTCTTGATCTTGATTGCCGGTGGCACACGAGGTATAAAACCAACATAACCTGGACATGGACGATTCCTTTCATATAAAGTAAATGGTCAGATCAGAAAGGTGAAATTACATTACACTGTATACTGTATAACAATTACAATAAAATAATAAACATTTCTTTTTGTAGTCATTTAATAAAAAGGAAATTTATCTTACCAAACAAGGAACGTGTTATTTCTTAGTTTTTCTATCAGTTCTAAGGGTTTTACTGATTGCACGACATTCCATCTGAAAAAAAAAAATTAATTCAAAATGTTATTCAATCAGCTTCATTTAATTCAACCAAACAAAATTTACGCTGATACGTTTTGAGTAAAATGTTTTCATTGATTTAAAATATAGTCATCCCACGGATCCCTTGTTTTTTTATGGTAGGGTATCGCTGCCAATGTTAAATACTCAGCTAAAATGTCTTTTCGATTGATTATATATAAAAGGTACAATGTACTAAGTCCTAATACCGGTAATGATCTTTGATATTATGCAAATGTAGGGTATCACGTGACTTATTAATACGTAAAAGACACCGAGATCAACCTGGTATACTATAAGCCAGCATACTATAAGGTATTCACATGATAAGATGAAATCGAGCTGGCACAGTATAAGAAATTCGTTGGACGACCGTGACTGCAATGAAATCGCGTAATTGGTATGGCTTATAAGATAATTTGAAAGTATAGTCTATTTTTAACAATTAGGTTACTATTTGAAAGTACGCAATCATGAATGTGCCAGGAAATAAATGATAGATTCAAAGAACCATAGAAACATACTTTCCAGTGATGTATAACACGATAACTGGAATTTCGTAGCAAGACTCGTATTTTGACATTTCTAAATAGAGTTTTACGGGCTAATTAACTTTGATCCATTAAAAAAAGAGAGGAATGACTATACATCTTTTAGTATATATATATATATATATATATATATATATATATATATATATAATATATATATATATATATAATATATATATAATTTCGGATTAAACATCGCGTCTTTTGTCCACACCCCCACCCCGCGCTTCCTCCGCCCCAAGTTATGAAAGTATGAATGTTCCAGAATATTTGCATATTTGAAAAGAGCAATGAACGAGTTTTTCAATGATACGTAACATGATATCTGGAATTTCGTATTGAGACCCATATTTTTACTTGAAATACCCCTACCCCCGTCATTTAGTAGAGTTCCTTGCCACTCGACGTATATCATTTGGCAATTCACCCCCCATCAAGAGAGAGAGAGAGAGAGAGAGAGAGGGGGGGTTAACGCCCACACGACACAAACTAGGTCATTTCGGGACTAAAATATGGTTCAAATGTATTTCAATAATGCGCTTGGGAGGAAACCGGAGGACCCAGAGAAAACCCACGAGGATGGACATGCGACCCTACTGCTTGTCACGCACAAGAGGGGAATTGAAACCACGCCGGTTGACTTAATCACGGACCTTATGATACAACGCACACGCGGTAACCAATCGGTCATCCAAGCGCCTGGTTTATCAAGGTATGCAAATATGAATGTGCCAGAAAATTATTTACATATTTGAAAAGGCAATAAACGCGCCTTTCAGTTATAGGTAACATGATATTTGAAATTTCGTATTTAAATATTGAATTCTCCCCCATCCAACGCACACACACTCACTTAATAGAGGTTAGTACCATCCAAATGATCTTTGCTAGCAAAATGTTTACATTTTTACAAAGAGAAATGAACATGCTTTTTACTGATATGTAACATGATATCTGGAATTTCGTATTAAGACCAGTATTGCATACCCCCCCCCCCCCACACACACACACAAGCTCCCTTTGTAATAATGGTAATAGAGTTAGTACCATCCAAATTTGATCGTTTGTCAATGTTATGTTAAGTACTTGTAGTGTGCTTCATTCGTTCCAGGAGTTTTTCGTCCACTTCCACCAAGGGTGATAATCGTAGACAAGTATATAGTGAGCCAGGTTGATTTCCTCTTATAGTGTACTGGATTATAGTGTGTCGGCTTATAGTGAGTCAGGTTGATCTCGTTGTCGTTTCCGTATATGTTAATAAGTCACGTGATATCCTACATTTGCATATCAAAGATAATTATGTGCGAAAGATGCTATGTAGAAAGCGTGAAGGACAAATTAGATGCGGCAGAGCGCAAATGTAAAATGTAATGAGTGAAATGTAAAATGTTGACACGAAGCACCCCCCCCCCCCCCTCCAGCATTTTCCAATAGAACATTTGTCATATTTGATACATCACATTTAACTTTTACCTTCAGAGGTATTTTGACTTAATCATTACCGGTATTAGGACTTTGTACATTGTACTTTTAACATGTATTCAATCGAAAAGACATTTAATATTAGCAGCGATACCCTTCCATCAGGGGCGGATTGGGCCATCGGGCGATCGCCCGAAGGGGCTGGTCGGAGAAAAAAAGGAAAAAAAAATGTTTGTGTCCAATCCGTCTAAAAAACATTATATAAGGGGGGGGGGGGCATGTATTGGACCGGCCATGGAGCGATGATGATCATGTTGTATGTGGCCGGTGGCTTTAACGGGCCGCCACGCCATCACTGGAGTCTGGAATGGGCTGGTATAATAGACTTTCTGGGCCGGGTGTGCTGGGTGTGGGCGGGAATTCGGAATCCTGCAATGGGGATTCCGAATTTCATCCGAAAATTTTATCGGATTCACCCGACACTGTCGCCCGCAAATTTACTAATTATTAAGTCATCTGCACCCTGTTTGTGGGGATACGCCAGATACGTCTGCCGATGGTTCGTAACTCAGCAAAATTTGATGATAGCTGGTCTGCTGGCTGAATATGAGTGCGAGACGATTTCCTGGGGCTGGTGTTAAACATTCCTTGACTTTTTATTAACTCGTTATATTATTTGACAGAGATTATAATCAGATATGCCACCAAATCGCATATTTGGGGTTCATTTTTGGCCGCTCCGACACGGGAGCCCGGGCCGGTTCCCGGCCCCAATCCGCCCCTGCCTTCCATATGTTTTACCTTTTAGATACAAGTTTTTGATCGGCTAATCTTTTATCATAACAATCTGATCGTACAACTGATGAGCGTATTTGTAGTTGATCTAACAACACCGCTTGTTGCCACGAATGTTGATTATCTTCATATCTCTTTACATCAAAACGTATCATGTCAGGTTTTCTTTCCAAGTTTAATCTTTTGTTATCAGTCTGCGGGGAAACAGTTATAGAATAATATTAAAGGAGCTAAACCTCTGACATAATATTTTCCATAATATTCGAAATTAGAATTAAATATTGGTCGATTTCAATCAATATTGATGTTATTATCTTGCCGTGAAAATGTGGGATCCTAATATCCAATATTTAAGACACAGTGAGCATTTTAAAATCAACATACCATTTGTAATGAACGAAGACAAACATATCCTTTAAAACGTAATAATAATAATAATAATAATAATGACTCTATTTAAAAAGGGTTGAAGATTAGGCTATACAGGCTATCTTACATCCTGCCCTTCATAGAAAATATAATACAAAAGATACATTAAATAACACGTCACAATAATTTAAAATAGAGGATAAAATATATACAAATCAGTTAAAAGATTAAAGGGCCAATCCCGATAATATGTTGGAGAATAAAACTGCTTAATTTTGTGTTAAAATCCCTTAAAATCCTCTACCAAAGGGCTGAGCAACTAACTCAATATTTGTGATATGTTTTCAAACAACTTAAACCTGTCGGTCTTCATCTGGAAATGGAGACCGGTGTACCAAACTGTATTATACGGCTTATGGATAAACCAGACTTTTACTTTATAAAAATAATGTGTAGGTGAAATTTACCTTTCGTTATAAAGTACAGCACATGGGTCATTCATTGTATAGACCTCTAAAGAAATGGGAATCGATTATCAGGTCACCCAACGAAAAAATGACCAGAAATCTTGAAAGGGTTACGTGTCCGGATAAGCATTTATGACGTTCACGTCTAAACCACTAAATATTGTGAGCTGATTTTTTGAGACAAGGTAAACACACCATCCCTCTATATTTTGGCGCTTAAATTTCAAACGTACTCAGACTTTTATTTTTGAGACTCTGTTCAAATCGGGATAGTCCCTTTAATTTAAGTATATAAATATGCGAGTTCATAAAACAGAAAGTCTGGATACATAGATATAACATGTATTAACAAATATACAATATGTAAACGCTTATATATGGAGATATACAGAATACATATACATGTAATAAGAAATATCGGGGGGGGGGGGTAGGATAATGTATTTGGAGTAGATTTGAGGTAAAGGAGAAATTTTTTCCTGAAAAGATAGAAGTTATTTAAAGTTTTTAAAGAGGGCAGCAAAGAATTCCATAGTTTGGGTCCTTTAAAGCGTATACCACTTTTAACTATATTAATATTTGGCTTGAGAATAGTAAGTTTATTGTAAGATGGCTATAAGGAGTTTGATAATAATGTAAGAGGTCAATTAATAAGTAATCAGGGCATTGTTTTAGCAGAATTTTATACATAAACATACATTGGTTAGAGATATGTCGATTTACTATTGTCAGAATTCCCAATCTGTCAAGTCGAATGTAAACGTTTGAAGTATGTTTTACATCTAAGATTGATTTTAAGGCCATTATTTGCTGTCGAGAAAGACGGTCAAGAGATTTAGCGTCACAACGGTCGCATACTAAGGAACAATAATCTATATGTGGTTGAAAGTGGGCATTATAGAAAATGATTCGGAACGGAGCTAGAAGATATTTTTTTTAATTTGACGGAGCTGAAAAACTTTCTGGCTTAATATTGTTTAGAGATATACTCGATATGATCTTTCCAAGTTTATGATTGAGAAAAACACCCAGTATTTTTACCGAGGAGAAGAAATTGATTGATTGAATCAAGACCGACTACCTTGGAAACATCTAATTTTTTGTTGAGAATTAACCACATCAGTTATTTTCATAAACGGAATTTGGAAAGATAGCCATCAGGTACTTTAGAGTTTACATAGGTTTTAAATAATAGTAATAATGTACATTACAAAACTACAGAAATAATTAAATAAAAAATGGTAACGCCCAAAACAACCGCCATACTTGTTTTCAATTTGTAGAACTAACATGACGATCGCTTTGGGCGGACAAACACACAGACAGGCCACGTCCACTTCCAGTATATACTGTGTCAATCGAAGTGTCCACATCCGGTTTGCTAGTCAACTACCAATTACTTCCTGACTAATTGATGTTTTTTTCACTATCAGCACACAGAAAATATTATTGCTACACAATTATTATGTTTGATCAGGTACATATTATTTTACTAATTAGACGAAATAAGTCAACCGCGATGCACTTTTGCTCTAAAAATAACAGAAAAACTGGCTTACTCTAAACAATAACAAATCTATCAGCATCAACCAATTTTTTCTTATTTCTTGAAATGTTTTTCACAACAGAGTAGAAACACCAAATAATTTTCTACGTCATAAAGTCTAGTTGTAGTATTATTGTTCCAAAATATATCCAAAGCAGCAATAACGCTGCAGTGCTCTCCATCAAATAAGTATGTTTTCACTTTCAATTGTTGTTATAATGGCGATGAAGGGACACAACTTATATTTTTCTGGGCATTACAATAAAGGGACATTACTAATCCTTTATCGGCTATTCGGCCTTCCACCCCCCACCCCTACCAAGGGGGGCGGGAGTGAGAGAGAGAGAGAGAGAGAGAGAGAGAGAGAGAGGGTTTAACGCCCACTCGACACAAACTAGGTCACTCCGGGAATAACATATGGTTCAATTTTATTTCAATAACGCTCTTGCGCGTAGGGGTCTTTAGCTGTGGGAGGAAACCGGGGACCCGGAGAAAACCCACGAGGATGGACAGGCGATCCTACTCGTTGTCACGCACAACAGGGGATTTGAAAACACGCCAGTTGACTCAATCACAGACTTTATGACACAACGCGCACGCGCTAACCATTCGGCCATCCATGCCCCAGGTTTATCAAGGTATGCAAATATGAATGTGCCAGAAAATTATTTACATAAATGACAAGGAATGAACGTGCTTTTCAGTTATAGGTAACATGGTATTTGGAATTTCGTATTAAGACCCGTATTTTAATATTGCCCCCCCCCCTCCGCCGCCACCAAACGCACACAAACTCACTTAATATAGGTTAGTACCATCCAAATGATCTTTGCCAGCAAAATCTTTAAACATTTACAAAGAGAAATGAACGTGCATTTTACTGATATGTAACATGATCTCTGGAATTTCGTATTAAGACCCGTATTACATACCCCCCCCCCTCCCTTTATAATCATGGTAATAGAGTTTAGTACCATCCAAATTAGATCGTTTGTCAATGTTATATAAAATTCTTATAGTGTGCTTCATTCGTTCCTGGAGTTTTACGTCCACTTCCACCAAGGGTGATAATCGTAGACAAGTATATAGTGTGCCAGGTTGATTTCCTCTTATAGTGTACTGGATTATAGTGTGCCAGCTTATAAGGAATCAGGTTGCTCTCGGTGTCGTTTCCGTATAAGTTAATAAGTCACGTGATATCCTACATTTGAATATCAAAGATAATGATGTGCAAAAGATGCTATGTAGAAAGCGTGAAGAACAAATTAGATGCGGCAGAGCGCAAATGTAAAATGTAATGAGTGCAATGTAAAATGTTGACACGTAAAAAAAACCCCCAGCATTTTCCAATAAAACATTTGTCATATTTTATACATCACATTTCACGTTTTACATTTAACTTTTGCCTTAAGAGGAATTTTGACTTAATCATTACCGGTATTGGGACTTTCTACATTGTACCTTTTACATGTATTCAATCGAAAAGACATTTAATATTGGCAGCGATACCCTTCCATATGTTTTACCTTTTAGATACAAGTTTTTGATCGGCTAATCTGTTATCATAACAATCTCATCGTACAACTGATGAGCGTATTTGTAGTTGATCTAACAACGATAATACTAGACTTTATGACGCAGAAAAGTATTTGGTGTTTCCAATCTGTTGTGCAAAACATTTCACGAAAAAAGAAAAATATTGGTTGGTGCTGATAGATTTGTATTGTTTGGGGTAAAGCAGTTTTTTCTGTTATTTTTAGAGCAAAAGTACATCGCGGTTGACTTATTTCGTCTAATTAGTAAAATAATATTTACCTGATCAGACATAATAATTGTGTAGCAATAATATTTTCTGTGAGCTGATAGTGGAAAAAACATCAATCAGTCAGGAGGTAATTGGTAGTTGAGTAACAAACCGGATGTGGACACTTCGCTTGACACAGTATATACTGGAAGTGGGCGTGACCTGTCTGTGTGTTTGTCCGCCCAAAGCGATCGCCATGTTAGTTCTGCAAATTGAAAACAAGTATGGCGGTTGTTTTGGGCGTTACCTTTTTTTTATTTAATTATTTCTGTAGTTTTGTAATCGGAGTTCAGCTTTAACTATATTGCTATCCAGTGGTATGTGGGGACTGATGTTACTTTTGGTAGCTGCTGAATTTAATGCATACCATATTTGTTCAGAATTTTTGTTATCTCAGACCAGATCCTGGAGGTACTTTGATTTAGACTGACGAATCATTGTTTTTAAACGATTTGGACATTTTTGTATTCGGTGTCGTTTTTCTTACTTCTGTGGAGATCAAGCTGTCGTATTAAATCTAAAATTTCACTAGAGAGCCATTGGGGTTTGATAGCAGTCTTAACACGCCTGGTTCTGATAGGAGTATGGTGATCAATTGGAGTTACAAATTCATACCAAATTTGAAGGGTATATGTTGGGTTATTTATCAGATAAATATTTTCCAAGTTAATTAAGCGTAAGTCATGCATGTAATCATCTTCAACAAAATTTTGAAATGATCTGTATGTAACATATAAATGTTTTGTTTTTGGGGATCTTTACTCCTCTTTTGGACCATGTAAAACAAGTTGGAAAGTGGTCTGATATAGAATAACATGGTACTTTAGTTTCAATTTTATGGTTTGGGGCAGATACAATGACATGATCAATTAACGCAGAATTTGTAACACGGGTTGGAGAAGAAATGATTTGAATTAAATTGTAAAAATTAAGTGAATCCGTCAAATAAGAATTTTTGCTGTCTAACAGATCGATATTTATGTCACCAAAATGATAAGTTCACGTCCTTGATTCCATGCAGAATCAATCATTAATTTAAATTCATCATGCCATTTAACATTAGATACCAAATTATATGTATAAACAACATATTAAAATAGGTGATGTCTTTTTTATAGTAATTTCAGTTCAAATGATTTCAAGAGTATTGCGTTCCAAATCAGTTCTCCTTTTACAATTAATAGATTGTCTTACATATAACAGTGTACCAGAAGAACTAAATGTACCATTATCTCGTCTAAATGGTGAATGAAAACCAGGAAAAATAATAGAACCATCATTTACAGATTCTGATAAATGTGTTTCAGTGAAACCCAAAATATCAAAGTCTTCAAGAAGTAATTTGAGTTCCACTGTTTTGTGTATAAAATGACAAACATTTAAATGTCCTATGTGAAGACCTTTCTTGGTCAGAAAATTAAACATACCGATATTGAAAACAAACACCACTAAACAAATTACAATTAATTATCAACAAACGCACTGGTCAAATCTATAATGTATTTATAGCGAGTGCGTAAGCTGAGAAAAATTCTCACTTAAATAAAATAAAATGACTGTTACGTGCACAACCAAATGAAATATAAAGAATCAGAATATAGCACTGATATACACAGTGCGTAAATCCTACAATACAATAAAAGTTAGTAATAAGGTCTAACAAATAGAACTGCAAAAGCACTTAACAATCTTGTCATATACTAAGAGTCCAGGACCAATGTTTTTAAATTGTTTTCTTGAATAGTTTGACGGTTTATGTCGAGATTGAAATGAATAATCCGATGGTAGCTTAAAAACAGCAGTTGGGGGTGGACATCTCATGTCTTGGTAATTTGGTGGAGGAAGTGTAAAAGGTGGATATGAGAACGATGATACTTTACTCCTTGAATCATATTTTGGTTTGAAGTCGTCAGTTGATCTAGTATCTTTCGGCGAAAATCTCATATGTGATGGAAGTTGAAAATGCGGGTATGAGAACGATAATAAATTATTTCTTGTATCAGCTCTTGGTTTGCAATCGTAAGGTGGTCGAGTATGTCCATAAAGATTAAGTTAAAGTACAGATTTGACAATAGAAGCTAACTCGGCTAACCCAATGTCGTTAAGATGGACAATGCGAGTGTAATTAGTAATGACTGGTTTACAAACGACAAAATAATAATAAAAGAAAAAGTGTGGAATGGCCTTGGCAGGCGTAAATTACTGTCGTTCAATTTGGACTGTTCATGTATTTCACCGAACATAATTGACTTGAAATTACAATAATCTTTTTAAAAATTGAATATAAATCACTTTATATACATTCATATTACATTAATAAGTGCTTTTAGACCAATTTTCTTCAACCTGTCTATTTTAAGGTTCCAAAGAATAGAGTCATACACCCTTTTAAATGGTTGATGGTTGATGTAAAATTATGTTAATTGGTGAGATATCTGAAACATAGCGCCAAAGTCACAAAATAAAATTAAATTTCTTCCAATATTTTTTTTTAATGGCTTTTAAATGTATATGTTGACCTGTTTTGTGGGATTTCAATCTATCATCATACAGTTAGTGTTGAGGTGTAACCCGTTTCGTTTGTGTAACACAATCTAAAATTAGTAAACAAGCCGATTTACGTTTAATCCTTAGGCTTGCCCCATTACTAATCAAATAACACAGCATATCGAACTAATTCAATACTTTATTTTGACATAAATCAAAGACGTTTAGTTCCTTGATTGTTATCAAATTATGTTTTGTATTGCAGCGAAATCTGAAGCATAGGGTTAAGACATAAGCAAAATTGGACATATCCATAATTAGATCTGAAGATTACTATAACACTATCGATGGGTACATGGTATTAAGCTGTGTATAGATATTTCATGATTTGGTTTTAAAAGAAGAAAATTGGTCCATATTTCATACTAATATATATTAAAATATAAACTAATTATATCCAGAAAAAAACATGGTTAATACATACTGTGCTATAACACTGATGTGGACGATTTGGTTTCTGATAAATATTCTGGACAGGGTTTGTTTTTTCGATATCCTTTGGGAGTCCACGTTGTTGTAAACACCGAGGCTCGGAATTTCCCACATACCTGTTTATACAATAGAATTATATTTTTCTTTAAAAAAAAGTGTTATAACTCTTGTTATCAAATTTGAACAGGGATCAAAAATGACACTAATAGTACAATTTTGATATAATAAAAAAGCATCTGAAAATCGTAGTTTAAATTTATAGATGTAGATTTTAAAAAATAGAATCTTTTCTTTTATTAAAATCTTCTATACTTAAAATAGTAGTATTGTTTATGAGAACGTTAAAGTCATGTGTGATAGTTGGGTCAACCGTACTTTTATTTTATATTTTTTCTAAACGTAGTATGGTGTACATTATTGTGAATACTAAAAACCCATAAAACAAAATCAACCTTTAAACCCGTCGTCATTGGTATATCTACAAAAGACTTCTAATATATCACCGTGATTTAATGTGCATAATTTGTAAAGTGGTTGAAATGAACGATTAGCTTTTGAATAGCCGTTGTGTTAGTGTTAGTAACGTCCCTTTTACAACAACTCCCACTTTGTCAACTTAGCGCCCTAAGAACTATATTAAAGTAAAATGGGTTTAAGTAACAAGACAAACAAAATACTATCTACTATAGAATACAGGCCTTGTCCTCGCACAATAATTCAACACAACAATAAAATATAAAGATATATCCAGTTGTATATTACTACCGATAATATTAAAATCAAAGGCTGATATATTTCTGCTGCTTTATTCATATAGTAAAAATTCTTCATGCTGGGCAACACGTCTCCAAAGTGACATTAAGACGACAAATAAACCCAGATTCGCCATATTGGACAATGTTTAAAGTCATTTGCTGTCGATTAGACAGAAGTTAAGATTATCTTCTTCTTTATTACTTCGTGGACTTTAAATATGGTATTATTAAAGTTATAATGTGGCACTCGCATATATATATATATTTTTTTTAGAGAAAATGGGATAAGTTATACTATAAAGTGATGTTGCCAAGGACTTCAGCCTAACAAGGCTACAAGGTAATATAATTATATATACATAATATGACCTAAATAAATAAGTATCTATATATAAATAAATATATAATGCTCATACCGGCCCTAACAATTTTAAGAGGAAAGTAAAATAAAACAGGAGATAGGGCTTTTCGTGGCTCTTATCACTTACATCTTTTAATGAGTATACAACTTTTGCCATTATAGACGTTAAAATTCATTATTTGGACAATATAAATAAAGCGATGTTAAATATGCTGTTTAAATACGACCAGTGTATCCTATGATTTGGATACACATATACATAGATTTCAAAGAAAAATTTATTTGCGCGAGCCATTTTAAATCGAAAATGACTCTCTGAACTCTCAGCAGTGATTGCCAAAGTACCGCCCTTTTAACAGAAAAGACGGAGGGCAGGGTGTGTTAGCAGTAGTCGCCCCCGAGCAGTGGTGTGCAGAGGCGCAAATTATCCTCTTGGCTCTTACTAATTATACGGTTTTTCGGATTTATACTTCTGCCAAATATAAGTGGCAGCGTCCGTGGGCGTTGAGAACCCTTGGCAGACCACTGAGCAAAATGCTTTACCGTGTTCTCTTTCTAAACACTTTCCATTCCAAAGAAAAATAATATAATAATAAATTTTAGTGTATTTACAGGGTGCTGAAAAATATAATCTCAAGTACCAATTCTGAAAGATGTATGTCGGAGGATTTGGTGTTGTTGAACCCCCTCCCATGGTTTATGAACCCCTTCCTAGATTTGTTCAAAGATCAAGACTGGTTGCAGAGTATCCGCCTCGTGCGTGTTATAGACATCCTATCGATAGAAAGATCAAATATGTACTGCCACATAATAAAAAGAGACCGTTAGTTGTTAAAAAGACCTACGATGCTCAAGATGCTAGATTACTACAAGATCCGTACAACGCCGTGGTACCAGCTTATGTCTATGGTAAAGAACTTTATGACGGTGGTTACTGGTATCCCCCAGATATCAATAGACCTCATAGGACAGCCCCTACTTATATTAATTATAAAGTGAAACCATTATTACCCCCCGTACCCGATGGTTTCTACAGTTATCCAGATAAGGAATATGAAAGGCATCAAAGGGATATTGTAAGGGATAATAGCCAGACATACCCCAGTGTAGATAGTTGGACACCGGAACCTGTTGTAAGACGCGAAATGGCGCACAGGTTTTCTGTACCAGCACGTCCTAGATTTTATTACCACCAACCACGCCCTGTTCGTGTAGAATATGTTGATGATTATGATGAAAGATCAATGGTACCTATTTATAGGCCTAGACGAGAACAATTGTGGTCATATGACCAAAAACCAAGTGATTCTTTCCGTAAACGTAGATTACGATATTTAATGGAACAGAGGCGACAGCAAGGATTACTTTAGCAAAATGTGTATATATTTATTATTATCATACTCTAATTAGATTTATTTAGTGTGATATAAACTGAAAAATAATTTACTTATTTATTTCTTAATCTGTGTATTATTCTAAAACTGACATATTGATCCCTTTAATCCAACACTTATTCTGTGAAAAGCAAATGAAAACTAATGACTTATAATTAAGAGAAGCCGTTTCTCTGATACTTGTAAATATGGGAAAGATGACTCGTTACAGCTTGTTTATTGATAATACATAGTTCCTGGTGTTTTCTATCTCTTGTTGTTCTTTTTTTTCCTTTTTGACCGACATTAAAGGTTACCGAGTAAATAATTCCAGTGAATGAAAGTGATATTCAGTTTATTCATTACTGAAAGTTAATGTATATTATATGGCAATGTGAAGCAGTTTTCTAATAATATTAGAAAGGGTTAAATAATTCCAGTTAATGAAAGTAATATTCAGTTTATTCATTACTGAAAGTTAATGTATATATGGCAATATGACGCAGTTTTCTAATAATATTAGAATGGGTTAAATAATAATAGTGTAGTGAGGGGAGGAAGACAAAAGAGTGGAAACTTCATATTCATTTTATTTTGCTTTAGTTAGTTGTTCGAGTGTCGGGAAATAATGAGGCCTAGAAGTGGCACTTAAAATGGGCAAATGCGCGACTGATCGGGTGGTGCTAATTCCGATTGTTCAAATGGTGTGCATCGTCGCTATTCGAGTGGAGAACCTTAAAGGGACAAATTCAGATATTTTCGAGATTTAGAGGAAATTACCAAACTTTTTAGGTAGGTATGTTATTTGAGTGGTGCTGGTTCATATTCGTCCATTGAGTAACTTATAATTCGGACATTATCATTTTGTACCTTTTTGACTTAATGGACGTCAATTAGTCTGATCAAATATAGTCGTTCAAAGGGCGTGACACCTGAATCTTTTCAACTTTTTTGTAAGTAATCGTGGTGATTATTCATTTAAATTGAATTTACCCACTCCCATAAATTTATAGGTTTATAAAACGAAACTGTGACGAATATAGTACTGGAGTAATGTTGGTAACTTTGATGATTCTCATAAAAATAATCCTAGAGCTGTCCATGACCGATATGACCCTTCATCAAATATAATGATTTTGGTCAGTTTTGGGAAATGATTATCACGATAGATTTTCGGGTGTTTCACAAAAGTACTTAAAGAGTTATTGCCCTTGACTTATGCTTTTTGATAAAGGATATTGCACAACTCACGCTTACGTTATACAGCTAGAGCTTTTGACCAATTGTCACGAAGGTCTATTTGTGTACAACTCCATGGAAATGGAAAAGAAATTCAATCGAAATCGGCCTTGGGCAAAACAAGTTACAGGCGATCTGGTTTTGGTATCAATCCATCTTTTCTCACTTTCTTCACATTTTTCGGCATGCTGAGATCAACAAATCAGTATTGTCAAATTTGAGTAAATTCCGATGATGGAAAATGCTAATTGTTAAGACGCTCCTAATTGCCCTCCCCATCTTCATTGGGGAGGCACCCCCACCAGACGTCCCTAATTGCACCATCCCGACAAGCTAACCTAGAATAGCTCATTTATTAACCGCGTGGAAGTTGTTGCATAATGTTGAGCATATCCCTATATATCAAGAATTACCATCGCCAGACATTTTCATTGGGGACATCCCTAATTGCCCCACCCCCAAAAAGCTAAGCCAGATTAGCTCATTCATAACCACTCGAAACCTGTTGCATAATGTGTCACATGTGTCAAGAATGACAACCGCCAGACATTTGTTCTGTTGCGGTACCCCCGCCAGACGTCTTAATTGCCCTACTCCAAAGATTAAGCCAGATGAGCCCATTTACTGAGCATAAGAACAGAGGCGGCGCCAAGGGGGGGGAGAGCTTGCCCCCTGGCCATAAATCTGGTCTGCCCTCTGTTTGCCCCCCCCCCCCCCACACCCCACAACAATTTTAGAAAATAAAAATAAAGTATTTGTGATACGTTTCGGTAATCAATACCTTCTCCAGTAATTAAATCCCACATTCCCACTCAGTCATAGAGTTGCATGTTGTAGAGCCCGAGTGATTTCTTACCAAGCCCATCCTGCTGTAAACCTACTATAAACAATAATACGTGAACCACTTGATAATTGCTTTTTACGACCCTCGATGTTTTTGGGTATAGGTTCAAGGCGGCGAGAATATACATTCACTCCGTTCGTTTAACACCCCCCCCCCCCTCTCTGCTCGGATACGCTGGTGATTTGGTGACAAACAGTATCTGGTCAGCTCTATTTATCTCGACAACAGTGTCTGAAATACTGCCAGACTGCATTTCCGGCAGTCTATTTTTCAGATTTTCGGGGGCTTCGTTGAGGTTCGCAAGTCCGTTCGTTTGACACTTTCCTCTCTGGGGTCGGATAAACTATAGTGATCAGGTGATAGACGGTATCTGATCAACTCCATTTATCTCGACAATCGGTGCCTCAATACTTCCAGACAACACTTCCGGTAGTCTCTTTTTCAAAATTTTCAAGGGGAGGTCCCCAATACCCTCCGTAACGACTCGCTTCTTTGGCGCTCATGAGGCGACTTCGTAGAGGTTCGCAAGTCCGTTCGTTTAACACTTTCTTCTCTGGCCGGATAAACTAGTGATCAGGCGACGGACGGTATCTAGTCAGCTCTATTTATCTCAACGATCGGTGCCTGACTCAGTACAGTGAGACAGCATTTCCGGCAGTCTATTTTTCAAAATGTTCTTGGGCAGGTCCCCCATACCTCCAGTAAGCACCACCTACTTTGGCTCTCGTGAGTGGCGGTTCGCAAGTCTTGGGGAGCCCCGCCTCACCTTCCCCTAGTTGAAGCTCGTGCCTTTGCCCCCTTAACCTTGGACTTTGCCCCAGCTTTCGCCCTCCAACCACCGACCATATTTCAGACAGAATAAACATTTTAACACATGACACAATTATATGGAACACAGGTTACTAAGAGGTTTATTTCTGACAACGTTTCGGTAAGGATTCGCTCGTCTTCATTAAGGATGAAAAACAGTATATGTTCATATTATCCACCCTCTGATACATATAACTTTCTTCGCTACAGATTGAAGCTAGTGCCAAACTGTCTACGTTCACGCGAACTCAAGACGGTATTCACAACCATTCCTAAGAACCATGATGATTATATCATCAGTATTGAGAAGAGACTACGCCAGGTAGCACCAGGAGGTAGAGTCTCTCTCTCCCCCATCCCCCATTTCTGCGCATCAAACCAAACACCTGCAACACCCCATTTCCCATCAAAACACACCCAAAGCCAGGATATATGTATAAAACCGACCAATACCTTTCTACATTATATCACCACTAACTAAATCTACTGACCCATTCATGCTTTACTCCTAAGACCTTTGTAATAACATCAATGTGAAATCGTCCCCTGCCATGTTGTCGGCTGACTTGGCCAGAACCTCCCCTCCTTACTAGACCTCCTCAAAACACATCACAATGAAATTAAGTTCACCATGGAAGCAGAAAAAGACAACAGCCTCCCCTTTTTAGATGTCACTGTCCGAAGAAACAATAAATTGTTCATAACTTCAGTTTATTGGAAACAAACCGAACCGAGCAGTATCTCTATTACAAACCCAACCACCAATCTCAGACGAAGAAGGCCACCATCACGACACTCATAAACCGGTACCCCAAGCTGCTAATCAACACCACAATTAATTCAACAATACCGACCCGAAACCCTACCATAATTTTACTTTTCTTTTAATTGAATATCGCGAATTTGTACTGAATTGACTATGGATTAAAACATTTGGTATATGAACAGTCTGATCGGATCATTGATCGGTGTTCAGGTCGGCAAAGAATGAGATTTCGGTTGCCCAAACTATAAAGTTGCTTAACGTATCCGCTAAAATAGGCAGATGTAAAAGCTTTCATATTCACGGTCACTTCCTGTCACATGTCATGGGTTATATAAAGATTCTCAAAAAGCAAAAAGAATTATTAAAAGCGACAAAAAACTTGCTAAGTTATAACGAGAAATATTTCAACCGGGCAAAAATTGCCGTTATTTGTTACAATTTAAATCGGTCAAAAACTGTAATAACAACCAGGGATGACTTTATATCAGATGTTATTGATTTTGTCAACAATCTTAAAGGGAACAGAATTATTAACTAGGTTATCAGGGTAAACATTTCAAATTTCTGCAGTTTTTAAAAAAATTAAATTAAATAATGTGACTTTAATAAAAACCAAATCGGCTAAAATCTGACCGGGTTAAACAGGGACATGTTTCAATCAGACATCACTTCACGGCAGATGTTACTGACTCTGTCAACAAGATGAAAGTATTATTAACTAAAGTATAACGGTACTAAACATTTCAACTGGGTAAAATTTCCCGTTTTCATATTCACGGTCACTTCCTGACACATGTCACGGGTTATATAAAGAATCTCAACAAGGAAAAATGATTATTAAAATCGATCAAAAACTCGCGAAGATATAATCCTAAATACAGCGAGAAACATGGATCAAGCCGTTTGGGCGGATCAGAAAATGAAATGAAAAAGAAGGAAAAGAACTCAAAAATAGCAGGAAAATATCGAAAAACAAATTTGTCGGCACGTAAAAGGTCCAAAGCGAAATTCCAAATTTTGAAATATTCAAATACCAAACATTCAACCATGTGCCAGGTTATCCAGAAATGTATTAATGTAAGAAATAGGAGACGAATTCAACAAACTACGACCTATTGCGATTATTTACAAGCCTGTCAATGTAGATTTTTCACTATTTTTCATATTCAATTCAAAATGGTGACCATCATTTGACCGAGATAAAAATTCTGCTCCGATAGATTTTTAGGCTTTCCTTTAAAGATTTAGAAAATATACTCTTCAAAATAAAGTAGGTGAAATTGAAATGCAAATACCTATGCAGGTTGTGATATGATAAATTGTCATGGACACTTGACATGCTTTGAGAATATGTTCACAGATGAAGAAATTATCGTCCCAACAGAACCACTGAGCTGCACAAACGCCATACACGTGGGAGGGGTTCATTGTCAAATTTGACACTTCAAGGAAGGGTGGATGAAAAGTGCCGTTTGCTAGTTTATCCTATCCATGTTTGCTTTCCTATCGGTTCTTGCATAAGATTTGCTGTTTAGCGTATCTTTGCTTTAGTGTGTTGCGTTTAATTTTGATCGGAAAACGTTTTCGTCGACGTCAACGTCAACCGAC